CTTAGTAGCTAATGTGGTTATGTACAGACTATTTACAATTATTTACATTCGTGTTTGGACATTTTTTTATGCGCTGTTTCCTTGTGTTGCGTCGTTTGGGTGCTATTTTTTTGTGGTTGCCTTATTCGTCCAGCCACCAGTATTTTTTCTTGTCTACTTGTGTGTATTGTTTTTTTATTGTGCTTTTATTGGGGATTGAACTGTTGTACTTTAGGTGTATGTTTGTGTCTGTGCTATTGATGTGTGGTCCGTATATTATTCTTTTATTTCCTTTTGTTCTGTGTACGTGGTATATTATTGGTACATTGTTTTGGTCGGTTATTCTTCCTGTTTTGTCTAGTAGTGTGAAGGCTTCTGGTGGTATGTGTCCTGTTATTAGTGTCTTTTTATAGTATTCGTCATTCGGGTACAGGGCGTTGTTGATTATGTTATTTTTAACTTTATGTATGTTCGCGAGGTAATCTCGTGTTAGTTTAACACGTTGCGTACCGCGTCACCCGTACTTGGGTGACGGGCATGCTTCCGTGGGGCCCGCGTCACCCATATATGGGTGACGCTTTTCTTGTTGAAGTTAAATAAGATTTTCAGTTGCATTTTGAAAACAAATTTAATGGAACAAGTTCTGAAGTATAAATATAGAATATACAGCGTAAAAATATAAAAAATACACAAATAACACTCTACTTTTTATTAATTTATATAGGATAACATATTATATTATACTATGTCGCATGAAATTCGTTGAAACAGTCCAAGCACATCTGTGGCGATTTTGGGCAATTCAAACAATACGTTGTTTTTTTAAGGTTTTTTCTTGCTTGTTGGCGTTCGACCATTTTCCTCTTCTTTTTGTAACAAAGTACGCACATCTTTCTTACAGGCTTCCCCTGCTGATTTTTGCGGATCTCCAAGTGGTGAGACAGATTCCTTCTTTTGGGTCTATTAGGGTTGGGCACAGTATCTTTTGAGGACAACCATTCTGTGACTAAAAGTTCACGGAATTTTCTTATATGTATTTTTTTTTGTGTAGCTCTCTGATACACTATATGTGCATTTACTATCGTTGTACTTGATGGTTTTTCGTATGTTTGTTGCATATGACACCATCTGGTCGCTTCTGTCGATGCCACTTTTACCAATATTGTACTCTCTTATCGCCAAAGGTTTCATTTTCGTAGGACGACCGCGATGTGTAGAATTCGAGCTTGGAGTCATGATGG